CCGTCACCAGGTGTTCGACTCCCTGCATGGGCTCTCACATCCCGGTATCAAAGCCAGCCGCAGCCTGATTGCTCAGCGTTACATTTGGCCACACATGCAGCGTGATATCCAGCACTGGGTTTGTACTTGCCCCGAGTGCCAGCGGACCAAGGTTCACCGCCATACACGGAGCCCACTCGCCCGTTTCCTTCCTCCGGATCAACGGTTCGCCCATATTCACATTGATTTGGTTGGCCTGCTACCGGCTTGCCAGGGCTTCCGCTACCTATTGACCTGTGTCGATCGCTTCACCCGTTGGTCCGAAGCCGTGCCCATTACCGATGCTAACGCAGAGACCACTGCCATGGCATTTGTGTCGACATGGGTTGCTCGTTTTGGCGTGCCGTCTGTCATCACGACTGACCGTGGTGCGAATTTCGAATCGGCTCTCTTCCAGCAGCTAATGCATCTTCTTGGTACTCATCGCTGTCCTACTACTGCCTATCATCCACAGGCTTAGTCGAGCGCTTCCACCGCCAACTGAAGGCCGCCATCAAAGCGCAATCACAGCCGCACCAATGAGTCGCTGCACTGCCTCTCGTTCTCCTCGGTATCCGGTCATCTCTCCAGACCGATTTCGGCTGCAGCTCTGCCGAGCTCGTTTATGCTCCGTCTCCCAGGCGACTTCCTCGCTCCCGCTCCCATTGACGACTGGGTGCCTACTGCTGATTATGTTGCGCGTTTTCAGGACACGATGTCTTCTATCCGACCAGCTCAGGTTGACACTCGCCTTCAGGCCTGACCGGTCCCTTTTGTCAGTGCTGACCTCTCCACATGCACTCATGTTTACGTCCGCATTGATGGACACTGTCAGCCACTCCAAGCTCCATATACCGGTCCTCATCGTGTTCTTTCCCGTTCGGCCAAGTCTCTGGTGGTTGAGCTGAATGGTCGAGAGGACACCATCTCCATTGACCGCGTGAAACCCGCATATGGAGCTGCCAGTCTCAGTGCTGCGGTTGCTTCTTCCATTGCTACTCCTAGCTCTCCCCTTTCTGCTGCTGCTAAACAATTTTGTTCGGCGCGTTCATTTTTCTGTTTAATGTTTTCTCGGCTTTTTCCGTGTCTTTCCTTTTCTTATCGTGTGCCGATACTGCTTGTACACTGGCGGGGGAGTATCTGTAGTGCCTGCACGGATTTCTTGCGATTTATCTTTCGTTCCGCGATTTTGTAATTTTGTACATTTCTCAAGCTTCTGCGCGGCAACATTTTGTTTACAGGATGTAGCCTTTATCATGTTGCCATTGTCGGCTACGTAGAGTACCATGCTACGCATGACCCTCGGAACGATGTGCAGGTTTACCACTTCCTGCGAACTCTGCCACATGCTTATGTACTCTACCATATTTGTATACATGTGTATTGTTGTTGTTCCACCAAGTATCCTTTACGAGTATCTAGCTCTGGCATTGAAAGTCGGCTCAGGCTTTCTTCTTCTTGCTTTTCCACTTCTGGACTTCTGGCAGTAGTTTGTGGTTTGTCTCTGCACGTAGAATTCTTTCCTTGTTGGACTATCTCCTTGCCATTTCCTGTGTGCAATACAGTCAGCTTCGCTAATAACGACTGCGGATAAAACGACAATTCGCGAATAACGACAGAATTTCCATGCCCAGAGCAAAGTCCCATCCAACTGTAATACATATAATGGGACTTCGGGTATAACGACACTTCGCGAATAAGGACACTTTTCTGATGCCCCGCCGAGTGTCATTAAACGCGAAGTTGACTGCATACCGATTCTCGCTGACTCGATACTTGGAGTTAATTGTTAAAAGAACATTGTCTGCTGTTAGGCACCGGGGGTTATGCCGGCATAATTATTGGCATAATTTGGTGGTTGAAAATTTGGAGCATAATTTGGCATCCTCTCGGAGGTAGGAGCATAACTACACGATTATACCACAGTTGTAGTATGTAGGCTATACAATTGTGTACAATGCACCTGATCAGTGCTGGTGGTCTGCATGGTAAAGGGTTCGGAGGTCATGCAGATAGTGTTTTCAATGAAAACCAGGGTAGAAATCATGGCAATACAGTATGCTCGAACTCGTCTTCTTCAAAGTTCTTTCTCACACTGACACAGTACATGTAGCAGAAGATGCGAGAGAATCAGCCTTCATCAGGTATCCCGTAGCGGACGAGATAGTGGCGGGTAGTCCGCAAAACTCCGTGTACATAATTATATACATTACATTTGTACATTATGCATGTTACGAAGTCATGACCTCTGGTAGTCTGGATGTTAGCAGCCATGATATAACTGCAGGCTATGGATATTGCTCGAAATTGATGTATAGTTGATGTTCGGTCATGATGGAAGGAGAAGTGGAGCTACGGGAGAGATGAGCTGATTATTCGCAGGGTGAGGGTGACATCGGTTGAACGAGTATGATGATTATGAAGACCGTGAGTTGAACATGATAATTTTCAAAGGTAACTCAAACTAATTTGGCAATGAAATAATATTTTTACTGAAGTACAAAAGAAATCAAGTGATGAATAGAAGAAGTAATGTTTTCTCTTTTCCATGTTGATCTCTAACATGCATGGACACCTTGGTATGGGGATACTCAGTCATGTACATGTACATTGTAATTTGTTGTACTTATGGCAAGTTACGTAATGAAGGCAGCGCGCCACGCATGCACCCATAATCACAGTTGCATACTCTTGGGTTATGGACTCTTGATAGAAGAAGTATTGTTTTCTCTTTTCCATGTTTACCTCTTACATGCATGGACACCTTGGTATGGGGATACTCATGTACATGTATTTTCTTGTACTTATGGCCACTTGCAACTTGCAAGTACGAAAAAAGGCACAATTTTCCGAACTTTGAGGCTCGATAAGTACAACAGAGTGAATATATATCCCCGGGTGCTAAAGCATAATAATCACATATCCATCATAATTATGATGATTTTACGAGCATAATGCGAGAATCCATGAAAGCATAATTCCATGATTTCGCGAGCATAATCCGCCGGAGCCTATCTGCTGTACGCGTGATTAGAGGCACGTTTCCAAACCCTCTAAAGGATGGACTGTAACGAATATTCGTAAACCGTGAGGTTGCGCACAACGTGTGAACTTTTTCGTAGTAGGTCGACACGGCGGCCCCGCGGGTGCGAAGAGTCAATACAGGGAATTGTAAAATAACAGTATTTTAGGACTCCGGATCTGCTCTGTTTCGGTCACGTTTGGACGGATCTTCGGAGCAACGTTCGTTACTCAAACCCGGACAGTCGAAATTTTCGTTCTGCGCAACCTCTCTAGTAACTCGCGAGGTATCTTTGGATTGACTGGATTCGAAACACCTGGTAAAGATTGAACCCTTGATGATGTTACGGCCTGGAGAGCACGATGAAAGTAGTGCTCTTCAAGCGCAGTATTTCTCAGCCTACTCAAGCTCAACTGATGAGAGATAAATTCCACGAAACACTGAGCATTGGTTTTGACCAGGGACTGGTGCTTTCTTGCACGTAACTCGTTTGTCCGGTCGAAGGCTTGATGCGGGGTATGGCGTGTGCCCTGGAATGCCTGGATGGCAGTCGTCAATCCGTCGAGTGTCAAGCCAAGTCAGTTACAGTTCACTAGTGACAATGCCTAACCGTCACTACTAGGACAGTACTAGTGGCGGATAATGGCAGTTCACTACTGACAGTGATATTACGACTTAGACTGTTAGAGTACAACCACAAGTCTATTACTATTACAGTATTAATAGTGACAGTGCATAGCACGATCTTCAGTCTAGGCCGCAACCAACAGTTTCCATGGTTACGTTCCTTTTATTGTTGGTTTGTCTTGTTTGATGACGTCAACAGATGTACAGGCATACATGTATCTGCCTACTCGGCACTCGCCAGTCAGTTTGTGGTCGGCCGCCCAGCTATCCAGGCAGGCTAGCTGTCCATGATCCATGTCAGCTTCAGTTTTATGCGGTACTGCACTGGGTACTGGAGGATCGCTTTCCGAAAGTAACTTAGTTACGAACGGGGCGTTTTCGGCACGCGCCTGCTCCGTTTGCGGTACTGGTGGCCGATTGCTATCAAAACGTTCACCACCTACGTGACCTAGTGTTGAGGCGAGAGAGAGAGAGCTCTTCATGTCTGTACCTGTGCCGGCTGTAGGTCTCAATGACATTAATTTTGTACTATTGACTATTGTAGACTGCAAACAGGGAGGTGAGAATGGGAATGCATACCCCAGTGCGGAACTGGACTACACTACAAGACTTAGTACAACTACAAGTGACTGTAGTCTGTTGCCGGCCGTGGCGTGTTGCCTGTGTTGGTTTGTCTTGTTTGATGACGTCAACAGGTGTACACGTACATGCATGTCTACCTACTCGCCAGTCAGTTTGTGGTCGGCCAAGCAGGCTAGCTGTCCATGTCAGCTTCATTTTTTCGCGGTACTGCACTGGGTATGTGGCCCATAATCATGATAATAGGTAGACCTACGGCCAGTAGTACTGCAGGATCGCTTTCCGAAATGCTTACGATCGAACGAACGGTTTTCGGCACGTGGCTGCGCAGTTTGCGGTACCGGTGGCCGATTGCGATCAAAACGTTCACCAACTGTTGAGGCGAGAGAGAGCTCTTCATGTCTGTACCTAGTACTGCACATGACATTTTTGTTCTATTGTAGACCGCAAACAGGGAGGTGAGAACGGGAATGCACACCCCAGTGTCGAACTGGACTACACAGCGGCGGATCCAGCGATCTCTACAGAGGGGTACGGGTTCCAGTATACACTGTACTAGTAGTAGACAAAACTGAATAGCTGATACATGTACACGTACACGCATACGCTTTCCAGCAGTACATCACTACAGTCATGTACATTTACGAAATTTAGGGGTTCCGCGGAACCCCTCCTGGATCCGCCCCTGCTACACCAGTCTGTAGTCTACGGACTACACACACACACAATGCAGTGTACGTCTAACGCCATAACAAGGGGTTAGGTGCTGAACACTAGCAGACACAATCAAGCACACATATGCGAGAGCAAGACGATTGTGTGTTACACTATTATATTAGTGCAATGGCAAGGTTTGAGACTCAGCTCCAAGAGAGACTTGGTGTCCCAGATTCGATTTGGCTCGGATTTGTCCAAGTTGACCTGAACAAACCTGAAATAGGCCGTGGTTCTGATGCCACTGTGTATACAAGTGAGTTGGAGGGTCTCCCTGTTGCTGTGAAGGTCTTACATAGTATTTTACACCAGCAGGGCAATGAAGGGCGTGCAGCTCTTCTGCAGCGATTCGGCACTGAGTGCCTAGTCATGCGCCGACTGCAACATGAAAGAATTGTGCGACTCCTCGGGGTCGGCATTGCTCCCAATCAATCTCCGTGTATAGTGGTAGAACTGATGGCCGGCTCGCTAGGTGATCGAATTGGAGTTGAGCCAAGAGAGCCATTCGCTCAAAGCCTTCAGTATCTAGTCGACGTGGCAGAAGGCTTGCGCTTGCTACACGGCAAGAACATTTTGCACCGCGATTTGAAACCACATAACATCTTGATCACGGCAGGGAGAGCCAAGATAGCTGATGTTGGTTTGGCCCGCACTCTTCACGGTAGTCAAGGTGCGGACGGCACGGCTTTGACGCGGTGCCCCGGTACGCCTTATTTTATGCCTCCAGAGAGCCTACAAGTAGGAACAGCATACGACGAGAAACTGGATGTGTTTTCTCTAGGAGTGGTGATGCTGTCGCTGCTTGTGGGACGACCACCATCCCCAACTGAAGCTACTGTTCTGCTGGAAAATGGAACGTGGAGATCAGTTCCGGAGGGTCGGCGACGCAAGGCAGACCTGGATCGACTGGGCTCGGATCATCCACTACATTCTCTAATCTTGTCGTGTCTGCATGATAATCCTGGATCTAGACCCACATCGGCTGATGTTCACATGCACTTACTGCAGATCTCACCTCGTGCTAAGCCTAAGGTATGGATGTACTCACATAGTATAACATGACTTTGTACTCACTGTGCTGTACTGTTAGCATACAGTCTAGCTGGGTATACATGGAATGTGTACATGTAAATGGGAAATACTGGCTGATGCATGCCTGAATGGTGCAGCTACCAGGGCATGCATTAGACCTGGCTTTGCCTATCTACACACTCATACTCTAAGGGCGCGTTCGCCAAATTGTCACTCTTTGACTTTTCCAGGAGATTCGTTTTTCGGAAGGGATGGCCTTATTGGTCTCTTCAGAAAAAGGTACTCCTCGAAACTCCACCACTTCATCCGATGGGAGAGGTGGATTAGTTCCGAAGAGTTTGGAATAGCTACGACATGTAGTACGTGGAGATGGTCGATCTGATCGGATCGGACGTCATCATCGCCAAGACAATACGACTGAAAAACTATAAAATGACAAAAACCGTTCTAATGAGACACTTCAACTAATCTCTTTAAAAAATTTGTTCGAACAGTTGATGAAGACAATTCAAACGCCCCCTAAGTCTTAGCTGGCTGTGCAGCATGACATTGTATTACACAGGATAAGGGTCCTGATCTTTCAGTGGAGGCGGCGCAGGCTGTCTGGACTGTTACACTTCAACAAGGCAAAACACTGACGTGGGCAAGATGATTGTATTGAAAAACACAGGCCTCACAATCACGTGCTGGCTGGTGACTGGCTGTTCCTACATGTATGACATCAGCCATGTGAGGTGTACATAGGAGTAGAGTGCATCTGCAGTATGCATAGTATAGCCCTGTGATATTATGTAATCAACTGGGGGGGGGGGGGGGGAGGGGGGGTGTTATAGATTTGCATAAGTCCCTCCTTATCCAGAATGGTAACATGAAAACACATGAAAAAAGTAGTGGATCAGAGCAAGAGTACATAACCCCTGGGGTACATAACCCCTGGGGTTATGTACTTACTCCTGATCAGAGCCATAAGGGGTCGTCCGTGATTTTCGAAAAAAGGGGGTGGGTGGTCAGGAGTGCTGGCGGAATTTAATTTTTTGATTTTTCCGAGTCCAGTTTTCATACACTTTTATTTATTTTTTGCTTCAGTGACTTTCACACAGTTTTTGCAGTGACTGTGCAGTGTACTGACTGTACTCGTAGTGTCGCAAACACCAGTATGATGAACATGTACCCAAAGTATGTGAACGCATCTTTTATGATCACTTATACAGACATGTTTCGCCGTTTCTGAGTCCCGCACAATCTGGGTTTCGTAAAGGCGACTCCACCTCCCTTCAACTGACCCGCATCGTGCAGCAGGTGTGCCAGCATAGGGATAACAGAGCGCTTGCTGCCATTTGCTTCTTTGACTTGGCCAAGGCGTTTGATACCGTCTGGCATCGAGGACTTTTGGCAAAGCTCGAGCATGCATTCAGGGTACGTAAACAACCACTCTCCTGGCTGAAATCTTATCTCTCTGGGCGTTATCAGTACGTAACTGTGCTTGACACATCCTCGGCTGCAGAGCCAGTATTGTCAGGGAGTTGATTGTGGGTATATGGGGTGTTACAGCGAGTCTGTAGCCCAATACCAGCGGCTTTGTCGTAGGTGCTGATGTACCTTGCCCTTGAACGACTGGAGTAGAGGGACGTCAGGCGTGGCGGAGACTGCAGCACAGTTGGGGGCAAGTTGTTCCACTCGTCAATGATGCTTTAGGGAAGCACCGTCGCACGTAATCAGGAGAGGAAGCCGGGAGGACGTTCTGTAGCTGAGACTCGTGGCGCACCGAGTGGTCGGACCGAGTTCGAGGACATGTTCGTGGAGGAAGCTGTGGGGGGGGGGGACCAGCGGCGTTAGTTGCGGTGGCCCTGCCAGACACATCAGTTTATACATATAGCTGAGGGCGGCGACCAATCTCCTTGCTGCCAAACTCTGGAGGAGGACATCAGGGCCAAGAATGTGGAGGGCAGTTCTTATTTTCTAGCTGGGAATTGGGAACGAGAGAGCTTGGAAGCTCAGGGCCCTACGCTATGCTTTTATGCTTTTTTGCCTTGCTCATCGTACATGTGTAATGGGTAGCCGAGTGGTAGTTATAAGAACTGATGGAAATGTCTTTTTCCGTTGATTAGCCACATCACTGTATTGCAAAAACGTTTCAATCGGTTTGAATATTATGAGTTAGGCAAAAGTATTTGCAGAATTTATTGCGGATTGTTATTTCTCTAATAATCATCTACTTTTGTTTTGCTCCTTCTTTAATTTTTATCTCCTTATATTGTAAATCAACAAATTTTGGCCGATGAGAAATAGAAACCTCTCGATTAGAGAGGTTAAGATGCACGTTATTTCCGACGTGACGCGCAGTTTCACGTCAAATTTGAAATCGATCGGTATTTTTGCTCTCACATGCATCCATTGCTCAATCATGCATCATTTGCCTATATGACAAACGTTGGCCTGCGATTTACTTTGGCCGGTTGGTACCAAGCGGCGAAATCAGCGAAATTAAATCGCCAGCGAACATTAGTTGATTTTAATACAGGAATCGGATTTTCTGGCCTTTTTGTAGTAATACATTTACATTGACCTGTTGAGCCAATGACGACGCCGAATGCATGGTTGCCTGTGGAGCACATTACATAACTTTACAGTCTCCTAAAATACGTATCCTGTCCGACGGCAAAAGAGGCTGCAGATTTAGTTTTTCTGCGCGTCGACGGGATGTCTGTGACGCGAAAGTTCAGCTCGCGTTATTTGGCTCGCATGTCGAAAAAATCAACGCGAGTGACCTGCTGCTCACGTCGAAATTTGGACATTACATAACTTTACAGCCTCCTATATAAATACGTATCCTGTTTTACGGCAAAAGAGGCTGCAGATTTAGTTTTTCTGCGCGTCGACGGGATGTCTGTCCTGACGTTTCCTGGGACCGACGCTGACTCTGCCGATCACGGGCGTTCTGGACTCGACGGGATGTCTGTCCTGACGTCTCCTGGGACCGGCTTAGACTCTGCCGATCACGGGCGTTCTGGACTCAACGGGATGTCTGTCCTGACGTTGCCTGGTACCGCCGGACTCTACCGATCACGGGCGTTCTGGAGTCGACGGGATCTCTCTTCCGACGTTTCCTGTGACCGGCACTGAATCGCTCGTTCACGCTTATTTTGGAGACGACGGGATCTCTCTTCCAAAGTATGTTTATGCTGACGCATCCTATCACCTAATCGGCGTCTATTCTAATTTAATTTCCTCCTCGTCTCCCTATTTCTTTCCAAATCCCCCTCTACATCAGGGAGTCGTATGCATAATACGACGAATATTGGTACGGTACGGGACAGATACAGGAGCCCGCAAATATTGTGGACAGCTGTTATGTACAATCCTGTAGAGCCTTTGTAGTCACAGATACGGGACAGATACGGGACAGATACAGGATAGCGCCAGGCGTGACACAAACAAACAAACAAACAAACAAACACACACACAAATACCAAACGAGAGAGCTTGGAAGCTCAGGGCCCTACGCTATGCTTTTATGCTTTTTTGCCTTGCTCATCGTACATGTGTAATGGGTAGCCGAGTGGTAGTTATAAGAACTGATGGAAATGTCTTTTTCCGTTGATTAGCCACATCACTGTATTGCAAAAACGTTTCAATCGGTTTGAATATTATGAGTTAGGCAAAAGTATTTGCAGAATTTATTGCGGATTGTTACATGTATTTCTCTAATAATCATCCACTTTCGGTTTGCTCCTTCTTTTCTTTTTATCTCCTTATACTGTAAATCAACAAATTTTGGCCGATGAGAAATAGAAACCTCTCTATTAGAGAGGTTAAGATGCACGTTATGTCCGACGTGACGCGCAATTTCACGTCAAATTTGAAATCGATCGGTATTTTTGCTCTCACATGCATCCATTGCTCAATCATGCATCATTTGCCTATATGACAAACTCTGGCCTGCGATTTACTTTGGCCGGTTGGTACCAAGCGGCGAAATCAGCGAAATTAAATCGCCAGCGAAAATTAGTTGATTGTAATACAGTAATCGGATTTTCTGGCCTTTTTGTAGTAATACATGTACATTGACCTGTTGAGCCAATGACGACGCCGAATGCATGGTTGCCTGTGGAGCACATTACATAACTTAACAGTCTCCTAAAATACGTATCCTGTCCGACGGCAAAAGAGGCTGCAGATTTATTTTTTCTGCGCGTCGACGGGATGTCTGCGACGCGAAAGTTCAGCTCGCGTTATTTGGCTCGCACGTCGAAAAATCAACGCGAGTGACCTGCTGGTCACGTCGAAATTTGGACATTACATAACTTTACAGTCTCCTAAAATACGTATCCTGTCCAACGGCAAAAGAGGCTGCAGATTTAGTTTTTCTGCGCGTCGACGGGATGTCTGTCCTGACGTTTACTGGGACCGGCGCTGACTCTGCCGATCACGGGCGTTCTGGACTCAACGGGATGTCTGTCCTGACGTTGCCTGGGACCGGCGGACTCTGCCGATCACGGGCGTTCTGGAGTCGAAGTGATCTCTCTTCCGACGTTTTCTGTGACCGGAGCTGAATCGCTCGTTCACGCTTATTTTGGAGACGACGGGATCTCTCTTCCAAAGTATGTTTATGCTGACGCATCCTATCACCTAATCGGCGTCTATTCTAATTTAATTTCCTCCTCGTCTCCCTATTTCTTTCCAAATCTCCCTCTACATCTGGGAGTCGTATACATAATACGACGAATATTGGTACGGTACGGGACAGATACAGGAGCCCGCAAATATTGTGGACAGCTGTTATGTACAATCCTGTAGAGCCTTTGTAGTCACAGATACGGGACAGATACGGGACAGATACGGGATAGCTCCAGCCGTGACACAAACAAACAAACAAACAAACAAACAAACAAACACCAAATTAAAGCTGTGTGGACCCTGGCTAGCGCCAGACGTTACTGAAGTAACGTCTTCTGCATAGCTACGGGAATTAAAGCTGTGTGGACCCTGGCTGGCGCCAGACGTTACTGAAGTAACGTCTTCTGCATAGCTACGGGAAAAATCATAAAATTAATGGGAAAGAATGGGGTGGGTGGGTGGGTTAGAGACAATTTTGCGCGAGGACGGATTTTTAATTTTGTGATAATTACGGACGAGAAGTTATTATTATTATTCACTAGTTTGAGTTATTATTATATTATCACATGGCACGTGATTGTTGCCCGTACTCCAGCGAATCAGCACCTTTCGCGCCGCGGGCAATAATATGCGATATTGCCCGCAAAAAATAGTTTATTTGCCCGCAAAAAAATAGTTTATTTCAGTGATCGCGTGACTACGATCGTACGACGACTCTGTAGACTGTACGACTCTACGACGAGTCGCAGTGTAGCATTGAGACGAAGATGGAATTCTTTTTGGAGATGGACATCCCGACAATGGACATGGCCTCGGATGTCTGCCGTGTGGTGCTTGCAGGGATCATTTGTTCAGTCATGTTGGCAGCCTGACCGTCGGTAAGCTTGTGGATAAGATTCAGTTCTGCTCGAAGTGGTACTGTGATCACAAGCAATTATTTGAAATAACACAAATTCAACTCAGCGTCGTGCGTTTTCAAATCCTCGCAAAGTCACTGCCTGTGTGTGGTCTTCATGTGCCACGCAAAACTCTTACCAGGCTCATCTAACCTTTGCTTGAACAACAAACACAACAATTCAGGAATGTTTTGCAATGAAAAATACAGCTATCTGGAGCTGAAAAAAAGAAGAAAAATTGTCCTCAGAATTACACACCACCAGGGAGTCGTCAAATACTTGCACTTGTTGCAGTACTGTATTTGACAACTTCCTGATACACATGTAAACATGAAGAAACTCTTTGTGGTAGCACTCTTAATTTTTCAATTGAAATTATGATTCTGCTGTATTTTATTGTCGTTGCCATGTCTATTGCTATGACGATGCGGTGCCGGCACTTTTTTTCTGTCTCCGTCTTTCAGTACTGTATACTCTCTGATGGCCTGTAGAAGACTTTTTGTTAGGGTGTAGGAGAAATATCTTCATTTTTCCTGTTTTGATAATGATAGCACATCAATATACATTGTGGTCATAATGTGTTGGCATTTGGGTTAACAACAGCAGCCCAATGGTCTGCTCTGTGGGCCATGTGATAAATTTGTTATCACATGGTTGCTGCAGGCCTTATGGCATATTATTGCCCCGAGAGGTTAGCCCGAGGGCCGTAGGCCCGAGGGCTAACCTCGAGGGGCAATAATATGCCATAAGGACCTTGCAACCATGCGATAACATATACATAATTAGGCCTTTCCCAAATCGGCCATTTATTTAGGCCTATTCGGCTTTTCGATCGGCTGAAAAAATCTCCAGAATCGGCTGAAAATTTCTGTAAAAGGTGGAAATTCGGCTCTAAAGTCGCAGCCACCTTTCGCAGATAATGGCTATAGAAATTGTATTTGCATGCTATTGAGGCACTAAAACATCAATTTTCGGCGAATTTAGTGCGAAAATTGCGTATTCGGCTCAAAGATCGGTGATTTTTTCAAAAACCACTATTTTCGGCCAATGTTTCTGCCGGCCGATTTGGGAAATGCCCAAGGGCCGTGACGCAGGCGCGCACGAGCGGTCATGCCCAGTTGCCCACGACCCTGCAAAACATGATTGTATATTCGGCGATTTCTTGGTAAAATCTCAGAATTCGGCCAAAGATCGGTGATTTTCTGAAAGTAGAAAGGAAAAGGGCATATGGAAACGAGTTAAGAGTAACTCTCCACCACTGTAACTAGTTTCCATATGTCCTTTTCCTTTCTACTTGTACAAGTACTTTTATTATTGGCTCAATACCCGAGTTTCAGATTTTCTGAAAAGGCAACTTTTCGGCGAATTTTTCGGCCGGCCGATTTGGGAAAGGCCTAATAATAATCCATAGTGTGTGTGTGTGTTTGTGTGTGTGTGTGTGTGTGTGTGTGTGTGTGTGTGTGTGTGTGTGTGTGTGTGTGTGTGCATATGTATGCCAACCTGTCGGAAGGCTACCCTCTTGCCAAAGCATTTTTGGAAGTTGGACTAGTTTCGGCTTCACAATCCAGTGTGTCGTTACTATAATTGCTTTCATGGCTGAGGTTGTTGGTATGTCTGCTGGCTCTGGGTTCCCAGTACTCAGTAGCTGAGGCTGGTTGGTAAAGTAACTCCAATTTCACTTCAAGGTACCAGTGCATCTTGTGTCTGCTTCTATCAAAGCAGCGTGCTGTCTATACTGGTTACCCCAGCAAGTGTAGGGTGTGCATGGGTAACTGTCTGGGCTGTTATATGCTGATGTGATCCGTTTGGTGTAGACCAGGTGTGCATTAGTGGTCAATTCACATGGCTTCGCCAGTTGTGTGGATTAGACAGTAATCTGGCGCAAGTCTTGATCTGTCTCATTCAGATCTTGTTCGCTATCGTTGCTATCAGAGAAAATCTGTGGGTGCACATCCAGTGCATTTGCAGTTTTGCGTGCTTCTCTTGCGACGGGCGTATACATGGTACGTGGTGTGTGTATGTGTGTGTGTGTGTGTGTGTGTGTGTGTGTGTGTGTGTGTGTGTCTGTGTGTGTGTGTGTGTGTGTGACATATGGTGCAGTGGTATGTGCAGCGATTTCCAATCGATAAGTTGCGGGTTCGATTCCGGACGATTATGGTCACACACGTCTTTTTTTCTCTTTTTCAGACTCTTCCTGACTTTTCTCTCATTCTCCTGGGTGGTTACCAACAGCCAGTGCACGCCGGAGTATGTGGTGTGATAGGTGTGCGGTAAAAAAAAATGAAAAGACCAAAAATAGGGATTCACTGGCCTGAAAAAGTCACTTCAAATAGCTGTATGGTATAGACCAGGCTGAATAGTGACGGTCTTCAGCCTTGCAAGCTGTTGAATGGTGCAATCCCGGGCCAGCACAAGTTGCTATGGCTTCTGCCGTATCATTGCTTTCATCGCCTCCGGGATGGGCGTCAGAAGGTCAAAAAAGGTGTGTGACAGTGTGTGTGTGTGTTTGTGTGTGTGTGTGTGTGTGTGTGTGTGTGTGTGTTTGTGTGTGTATGTGTATATGAGTGTGCATGTTTGTGTGTGTATGTGTGTATTTGTGGTTGGTGTTATTTTTTACCTGTTTGTCTAGTCCGCAGATGGCTATTTGAGTCAGTTTGCAGACATTCTGGCTCAACTGAAAACGATGTCCACACAACAGCAGGCAATCATCACCCGACTGACAGCTGTGGAAGAGAAAGTGAACGGCATGGATGAATTGAGGGAGAGAGTTTCTACCATCGACACTTACCTCAGTGCCCACTCATCAACTCTCACTTCACTCAACTCCACCGTGGATTCACACTTAGTCATAGTGGACTCACACTTTGCGTCAGTGGATTCACGCACAGCTGCAGTGGAATCCACACCTTCGTCTAGATCCAGTACTATGCCTACTCAACGTCCGACTGCGACTACCTCACACAGCCGTGACTCTATTCCCCAGTCCACTCCATCACAAAGCAGTACATCTTCTACAACACCGCTGATGATGTCATCCAGCGCTTCCTCAGCTCAAACACATGTTAGATTGTCCAGACAAGGGTCAGCCTCAGATCAGTCTACCTTGCCCAGAAACACGTTGTCAGCATCACCATCAGCAGCATCATCAGCAGCAGCAGCAGTAATAGCTGCATCTCCACCACAGAAGGTGGGTCTACTTTGAACGGCTTACTTTTAGAAGTTCATGCGACGGTATATCAAATTTCCCTTACAGTCGGTTGCCTTGCATCACCGGGGTGTGAAGTGGTACTTGTATGACGTCATCAAGCATTCGTTGAGTATAGTTTACATACACACAACACTGGTGTGTGTTCAAGTCAGAGTTTCACTATGCAGGGCAAAACCATGAGTATATATGACTAGTTACGCTACAAATGATATTGGTTTAGTGCTTTCCTTTGTTCGTTTTGCTGCCGACTCCATTGTGTTTGCCTCAATGTTGAGTTTGTGGTCATGGTAGCGCTTGAAACTGCTTTGCCATGGACATTCCAGAGAATTGATAGCGCTGCCCATTCTGATCAATTTTTGTAGGGTTGTATAGTCAATAATGTGTTCCCTCACCTTAGGGTGATGTATATCCCATCATCTACTCATTTTACGAAACATGAGGCCAATGAAAATTTGAAATCGAAGTATGAAGTGTATGACCACCCAGCCAGGTTTGACATCACTACTTTCTCCCTCAATTGTCCTAGTGTTGATTACTGTTGTTCTTACTGCTCTCCTGTACTGCAGCGTGATTACACACAGATCCACAAATCAAGTTACTCATTTGGTAGTGAGGGCAGTGGGAGAGATCAGTTTAACAACCCTTGGGGACTAGCAACCAACAAAGCTGGTGACCTGATCATCTGTGACAGCAACAACCACAGAATAAAGGTAACTAAACTCACAGTACATTGCTATCCGGCAAGCCCATTGTGTATGAAAATGTCACTCTGATGGATGACCTGCTCGAGAGGGTCTGTATGTGCATTTGTAGAATTGAAAAAGAAGTATCCCAATTGGTCAGGTTGAAGATGCTCAAGACTGTCTGAAACAGTAGTAGACAATCCCTTGGATGAATTCTTCAACATTCTAAATTTTACGTTATTGCACTATCCAGTTAACCTGTACACCCATTGAACACAAGAGCTGAGAAATTGATAGGAGTAGAATGTCATTTCTCTTGCAGATCAATTTTCTAAACTACCAAACTGGAGAAAGGTGATTATTGTAAATCACAAAAGACTTTGTATACCTGTGACATCCCCCCCCCCCCCCACTCCTACTTGTAAATGGTTTCTTGGCCGGGCCATTGCAATTGCACATCACCACCGCAACGAGGACAATTTCATTGTAATTTTGATATCTCAGACCCTGAAGACAGCTGCTTTGCTCCAACAGAGCTCATCAGTGGTGGTTGGTGATAGTGGGTGATTCGGGTGAAGGAATAATGTTATAATAGGGTAAAACAGTCGCAATTGTGCGATTTCTACATCGAAGTGTGACATGCCATAGGCATAGGACACTGTGGCTTTAGGTGATAACAGATAGCGTTATTGGGACATTCTTTCAGGTCGTCTGCAGTACTAGAATTGGTGCAAAATCAACAAACAAAGAGAGGTGCTATTATATGCCGATAGCCACTTATACATACGAGTGCTGAATGTCCAAACACTGCACGCTTGTGTTGTCACATCTATTAAAACTGTCAGTTATCACCTTACCCCTTTGTGTGCTAGGGCATGTCACACTAGAGAGAACGTGTGCAATGATGACAACTTTTCGCACCTCCAATGATGAGCTAGCTCTGTTACCGTGTTGGAACAAAACAGCTGTCTGAGGGCCTGAAAAGTCAATATCTCAACTAAACTGTCCTCGATATGGTGGTGATGTGCAAGTGGAATGGTGCGGCCGACAGCGCATTGGAGAGTGGAGATGTGACTGACATTTTTGAACGAGCTTTTCGCTAGATTCACACTATAGAACTGAAACCAAATGTTTGCATGGCTTTTTGTAAATTTGGATCCGGGCTATGTATGTGTGCCTGGTTGTGCTTTAAAATGTTGTATTTGTTTTCCTTTTTGTCAATGCACTTAGGTACATGGTGTTGATGGCCAGTTCAAGCAGACGACTGGTCGGACGGGTCGGAAGGGTACAAATTGTGGAGAGTTCAACTACCCAGCAGCTGTGCACGTAACAGATGATGAACGAGTGATCATTGCTGAGGCTCTCAACAACCGACTGCAGGTATGGTCTTGGTGTTCCAATCATGTTGTAAGGATTACATGTAAACAGTAGGCTCTTTTACGTGCAAAACTGATCAACAATGCAGTAAAGCCAGCTGCTCAGAAAAACTTCAAAAAGGCCCAGAGACACAAAAGAGAAAGCCGGGACACGGTGAGGGACCGTCAGTAAATACATGTACTAACTTTGAGATGGCGTCGCTGCGTTCCTTTCTTGAACCACTCACCTCAGAAATGCCCCCCTCCCCCAATGCAGATAATACCACTCATAATAAACACCATACTATGCACACGTATACACTACAGTCGACCCCACTTATAACGAACTCGCATTATACCAAATCTTTAAGGCCGCATGTAAACCAAGTGCACCTGAGTCATACTGTCATGGGCCACATGCTCACCTGAACCTGAAACCAAGGCCAAGGATCCTATATGCATGGCATGTTTCTGGGAGCACAGCGTATGGCTGTGTATGTGTCCCTGTCTACTCTGCCGTGATGTGTGTAGTGCAGTGTAGTGTAGTGCGTCTCAACGCCTACCTGGAAAAGGGCTCGAAAGTGCTACGTCACAGCATAGCAACAATTTCAAAAATTCAAAATCTGGATCCACTTGGATCCAGATTTTGTATGGATCCAAGCTAGGCCCCCGTGTAATATGCCGGCATTTATTTGAGCATTTTCGGTACAATCCGCGAACCCAGCACTTTGGGCTCGTGATGCAGTATTTTGGGGGAAACGGAGCACTTGGCCGTTGTGTATCAAAATGGAGAGAAGAAAAACTTCCCAAACAAGAACGTCACTTCCGCATTCCGTGGGTTAGCTTCTTGTTGAGTAGTTTATGAATTGAAAATAATGGTTTTGACCAGGGAGTCGTAAAATACCGGTATTTTCTGACTCTCTGGTTTTGAGTCTTTTGACGCCGTGTGCTGAGGATTACAAAAAAGTGAGCATTTTCGGAGCATTTTCGGCAAGGTTTGGGAGCATTTTCGGCAAGGTTTACGAGAATTTCCCAAAAGCATTTTCAGCAAAGTTTCGGGCATATTACACCGGGCCCTAATTCAAGCACATTTCAAGCGGTCTTACTCACAGCAAGGTGATGTAGCCAGTGAAACTGACTGGAGTGGCTAATGAGGGTGGGGTGACAACTGGTGGCGAAGTAAAAGTCACACCTGGATACGACATGCGTGGGTTGCTATATACACACTGAGGCAATTGCAAAGTCACACCTTAGTGGATTCAAACTAGAAATCTGATGTGATTCTGATGTGACACTCAACCATAAGGAATTATATCTTGATGCCAGTGACAGTCGAGGCCAAACACACAGACACATCTGTGAACGTGCACAGCCCCCCCCCCCCAACACACACACACACCTTAACACATACACCATACACCCGAACACACACACACACACACACACACACACACACACACACACACACACACACACACACACATTTGAACACACACCCACACACACCTGAACACCCCACCCACACACCCACACACCTGAACACACACACACACACCCACCCACACACACCTGAACACCCCCACCCACCCACCCACACACACACACACCTGAACACACACGCACACACCTGAACACCCCCACCCCCACACACACACCTGAACACACACGCACACACCTGAACACCCCCACCCCCACACACACACCTGAACACACGCACACACACCTGAACACCCCCACCCCCACACACACACCTGAACACATGCACACACACCTGAACACCCCCACCCCCACACACACACCTGAACACGCACACACACCTGAACACCCCCACCCCCACACACACACCTGAACACGCACACACACCTGAACACCCCCACCCCCACACACACACCTGAACACGCACACACACCTGAACACCCCCACCCCCACACACACACCTGAACACATGCACACACACCTGAACACCCCCACCCCCCCACACACACCTGAACACGCACACACACCTGAACACCCCCACCCCCACACACACACCTGAACACGCACACACACCTGAACACCCCCACCCCCACACACACACCTGAACACGCACACACACCTGAACACCCCCACCCCCACACACACACCTGAACACGCACACACACCTGAACACCCCCACCCCCACACACACACCTGAACACGCACACACACCTGAACACCCCCACCCCCACACACACACCTGAACACGCACACACACCTGAACACCCCCACCCCCACACACACACCTGAACACGCACACACACCTGAACACGCACACAAGTACGAGTATACTACACTGTACACTGTACTTCGAAGTAGCATTATACGAGTGTTCCTTTCTACACTTTGTCGTGTATAATCACCACCTCGTTTACTAGCCTTTCTACTTATGTTGATCACATTTATCCCTTATGTGTCGATTGTATCACCACTCGACTACTTAACCTTTGTCTATTTACCGCTTACCCTTACATGTAGTTCCGTAAAATCCACTAATAACCGGAGCAGAACATCGATTCTGGAATTACACACCCTTTTTAACTCTAAACGCGTTTACTTGCATGGTAATGTCTCTGGCCCTAATACTGCTTTTAATAGCGTTAATTATACATTTGTCTCCTCGAAAACTGGTCCTAAGCATTTGACCAAGTTATTTTCCATTTCTAAATCATCTTGACTTCTCCTGTCCATCTCCATGCCCCCTCTGCAGATCACTGACAAGGACTTCTCAGAGTTCAGCACCATAGGAAGGCGTGGATCAGGAATTGGCGAGTTCAGTTTCCCGGTTGGTGTTGTCCAAGTGAACCACAGCGTACTGGGCCAGTGCTTTGCAGTGGCAGATTTCAAAACCCATCGGGTTCAGGTAATAACGAGACGACAGTACACACGGTACATGTACAGTGTGTACTGTGTAAAATCCTTCTCCTATCCACTAACAGTGCACTGCGGTATACATAAAGATAAATAAAATTCAAAAAATTCACGGTCGCGTGAGACTCGGCTGGAAGCCGAGTTTTCCGCATCCGCCGTGGGAACGCCACCACCCTCTAGGATCAAATACATAAAGATAGAACTAGCCGGTATCACTGTTCACCATCAAGTAGTTGGACTGTTTTCAGTCATGTAACCGCAGGTTATGTGTGTGTGCGTGAGTGCGTGTATGTATGAATATGCACGTGGGTTCCATTGGCATACCAGTGCATGACTACATGTACTGGTATAGAAAGCTTCATAAAGCTCTGTCACAGCCCAACCACAAAATCTAGTTGTAAGTTGTGTGCAAATGAATTACATATCTCACAGGTTTACACACAGTTGAGAGGAATCAAACGCGTTTCTGCTGTAACTCTGAGTTTCACGGTTTTAACCGATCATCAGACGACAACTCACAGGTCAATATTCTTTCTTCTATGTACACTGGTACTGTACAGATTGTGCCATGCAGTGGTGAGACAGGATATGCATTTGGAAAGTTAGGTGGTGATCAAGGCCAATTTCGATATCCAAGAGGCATCACATTGCACCTCAACAGGCTGTTTATTGCTGACCAGGACAACCATCGCATCCAGGTATGTTATCATGTTAATCTGGCAACGACGTCAACAATGATGCAGAATACGACAACAGCCGCAATGACAACGACGGCAACAATGATGATGCCAACAGAGATGACGGCAACAACAACAACAACAACAACAACAACAACAACAACAACAACAACAACAACAACAACAACAACAAGTTAACAATAACAACAACTACTACCACTACTACCACTACTAAAACTACTACAGCAGCAGCAGCAGCAGCAGCAATGGAAGCAGTAGCAAGTTCAGCTATATCCTTGTGACAGGTCTTTGTAGGTGGCTGTTCCAAACTTCGGTGCTCACACTTCATTCTGATTGACTTGACACTTCACTGACTCATGACTGCCGTCTAGAGACCATGAGCGGAAAGTAGAATGTTTGACTCAGAAAATCTGCAAAAAAGCGCCACCCTCTAGCTCTGCTATATGCAGTGTTTCGGGGAATTCCCCCTGTATCAGTTGAGCTTCAGAACGTTACTGTAATCTGTGCTCTGAGAGCACTGCAAAATGTGTTGCGCTCTGGCAAGAGCCGAGGTCCAAAGTTTGGAGTAGCCACCTCCTTCAATTATTATATCCACTGCAACTGCAACATCTACATGTAGATCTGGAATTAAATTGTTTCTTTTTTGCATGTCTAGTGTGCATGAGACTTTACTGCTATTGACAACGCATCTATCGGAATATACACTGGACGCCATCTGGCAGGAAAACATTCATCCAATCATAGATGAATGTGTGCGTCATGCAAGTGCTTGATTGCCATGTTCGCCTAACTTTCTATCACACTTATCAATCGTCCTTATTGGCGTGACGCCATCGCGGAATAAAAGAATACAATAATATAATAAACAGTTTCCTCTGAGACAAAAATGCGATAATACTCATAAAAAGGACACACTTCAGGCTCATTACAAACATCTTGAAAGTTTTTGTCTTCACAAGTATACTTTCAAGCCTTCTCATCAGGTGAAATACAGGCAAGGGAAAAGGAACAGGAACAGTGGATTAAATACAGTAAGAAGGTGGTAAAACAGCGCAAAAAAAGAAGGTAGCTAAAGTAAACAGCGAAAAATGCAATAATGACACAAAGGTGCAAATGCGAGAAAACTCAATAAGCGTGACATGTAGTGCGACAACAAGAGACAACCACTGGACATACATGTAACTAACGAGGTTTTGACGACCTACCTAACAGCCTAAGTGTGAATTTGATTTGTTTCTGCTTGCAAAGGTTGGGTTTCTTTGTGTGGATGTATACAGCTTCCAAAACATTCAGCAATCTAGCACTGCGTATACCTTTGTGTCATTATTGCAATTTTCGCTGTTTACTTTAGCTACCTTCTTTTTTTGCGCTGTTTTACCACCTTCTTACTGTATTTAATCCACTGTTCCTGTTCCTTTTCCCTTGCCTGTATTTCACCTGACGAGAAGACTTGAAAGTATACTTGTGAAGACAAAAACTTTCAAGATGTTTGTAATGAGCCTGAAGTGTGTCCTTTTTATGAGTATTATAATATAATAACTTGTCCTCTTCAGTGGAAGAGTGTATAGCCTGATGTACGGTTAGACTCTTAAACATCATGTCTATACATCATGTCACAAACCAAACAGTGTCTGTGCTACAATAAATACATACATAGTAATCAAATGTTGGTGCCAGGTCCATGTTTTACCTCAGGTTTTGAGTTGCACACCAGTAACCTTATCACTACATAAGGATAGTAGCTATGCACTGCGTGTTGGAGTATTTTTCTTACACTCCTGTTGTATCTATACTCTTACTGTCAGAACAGTGGTGTGTGTGTAAATGTTCAATTTTTTTAATCCTGCAAAAGGTGATGACCATCGATGGAGAGTATATCACGTCGTTCGGGTCAAAGGGCAGCGGCTTTGGTCAGCTGCAGAGACCGAAACATGTCACTACAGATGCCTACGGCAATGTACTAGTCGCAGATTGTAACAATGGACGTGTTATGGTAAGGGAGAGCTTGTTGTCGTTTTCTTCTTTCTAAATACCTACAGGCAGAGAGTAGTACCCAGTACATATACAACAGTGGAGCATGGTCAGTTTGTTGCTAGTCTGTGATTCATGGTCAGTACAATCATCAGACAACACTGATATGAACACAGAAAGTGCTGTACACTGCATGCACAGAGTACAAGTAAAGAAAGAGTACATTAGCTCTTACAGTTCAAAAAAAAAGAAGAAGAAAAAAAGGTACATTCTACTCTTACACTACTTTCTTGTTTATAAGTGTGTCTCACATGCAAGCAAGCAATGAATACAGTACTAGCATGATTTCCAAAAATGGTACCTCTGGCACATATGCTTTAGGGTTTACCTAGTGTCCATGCATACTCAGATTGTGTGGAGTGCTGAATGTCTGGAGAACAGAGCAAGGAATACAGTGGACACACATCAATGCTACAACCAAGTCTTGGATGTGCTGTGGCTGTGTTCTTACTGTATGCTTGGCTTGCATGTTGACATTAATTTTGGAGAAATGCCTAATCAGTTTAAGACTTTAAGTAGAACTTAAGTACTTGTATAGGAGTATGCCTTCGAAGCCCATCTATACATGTACTTTTGAAGTACTTGAAATATACGTGCCATGTTGTGGTGGATTCAGTTTACGCCGGTGTAAGAGGACTTTGTTTGAGGTACCGTTACTGAATCCCTGACCCAAATTGTCTCCATGGTGCTGGTTTGATGCATATTCATCTTTCAATGAATGAAAACATACTTCAGAAGTAGCAAAGTGGTTTACACACCTATTGCGTATACATTATTTTCTAGAGTATTGTCATGACATCAGTCTGAGTCATGAATATTGTTTCTCTGTACTGTGCCCACCATGTACTTGTGCCGGTGAATCACTGCGGTTTCACTTGTAACACGTATTTGATGCGATTTCTTGAACGTGGCAAGTATTGCCACGTGAGTGTGGTTCTTCGTGGGCTTTTCAGTGATATTGGACGAGGAACGGTTTGGACAAATGGTTTTTGGGTTCTTCTTCTTCTTGCCAATCCGAATGGTAGTTCAACTCTTGTTCTTTTTGCCTGGTGATATTTATTTTATTTTATTTATTTCTGCACCTCGTAGCATGTCAAGACAGCCAATTGAATTGAGGAGAGGGTGAGACCAACCACGGAAGAAGAGAAAAAAGAAAATGAAGAGCACGTACACAAAGTGGGAAGGGATTAGCAACTTAAAAAGCAATGGGATGCTCAGCGAGCTATGCAGCGGAACTGGTGACTGTGACTTTGTTTACTGGGAGATACTGAAGTGCTGTCTGACGAGGGTACGGAATTTGGGCATATCTGGAGCTTGTCTTACACTGGGAGGCAGTTGGAGCCACGTGGAGTAGGAGGAAAAGAAAGCCTTCCAAGGGGAATTTACGAATAGGGTAGACCTAGCTAGGGGGAGACGAACGCAGCTTCGGGTCGTGCCACCTGAATTGAACCAATTAAGGGACTGTAAATGAGCAGGGTGCTTGTCAAGAAAAATTGAATGTGCCAGGGTGCACTTGGAAGCATCAAGGTAATGTTGCAGAGTGGTAGTGGATGCAGCAGCATACAAGTCTAGATTTGTGATATAACGATCAGTACGAAATATGATGCACAGTATACGGCGATGGAGAACTTCTAATTTACCTATGTGGGTTTTGTTAATGGTGGACCAGGCTATATCGCGATGAATAAAATCAGTGCGTCACAGTGAATGGAACCTTATCTGACCCCGAGTCTGTGACATCCGGAGTGCCCCAGGGCTCCATTTTAGGTCCACTGCTCTTCCTCACATACGTTAATGACCTCCCCTATGCAATTCCCAATATTTCTTTGTTTGCAGATGATACCACTGTCCTTGCTTCCTCCCCATCTCACGCCACCCTGTACCCCAAAGGTCAGACCTGTATCAACGACATTGTTCACTGGATGAGCACTTGGTACCTTAAGCCAAATGTGACCAAAACCGAGCTCCTCCTTTTTCCCCCTCCCACAGATCCAGTGCCCATCTTCCACTTTCCCGATGATCCCGGTCACCCTATCTCTGTAGCGCCCCACCATAAACACCTCGGCATTGTCATAGATTCCGCCCTCTCCTGGTCTCACCATGCTGATCATGTGTCGTCCAAAGTATGCCTATCTGTCGGCATAATGTCAAGTCACTTGTCCCATTTGCCCCAAAATTGCCGGATTAATTTTTATAAATCATACATTCTTCCTCTCTTCACGTACGGCTTCCCTGCCTTGTCCACCATTAACAAAACCAACATAACTAAATTAGAAGTTCTCCATCGCCGTATACAGCGCATCATATTTCGTACTGATCGTTATATCTAAAATCTAGACTTGTATGCTGCTGCATCCACTACCACTCTGCAACACTACCTTGATGCTTCCAAGTGCACCCTGGCACATTCAATTTTTCTTGACCAGCACCCTGCTCATTTCCAGTCACTTAATTGGTTTAAGTCAGGTGGCACCACCCGAAGCTGCGTTCGTCTCCCCCTAGCTAGGTCTACCCTATTCGTAAATTCCCCTTGGAAGGCTTTCTTTTCCTCCTACTCCACGTGGCTCCAATTGCCTCCCAGTGTTAGACAAGCTCCAGATATGCCCAAATTCCGTACCCTCGTCAGACAGCACTTCAGTATCTCCCAGTAAACAAAATCACAGTCACCACTTCCGCTGCATAGCTCGCTGAGCGTCCCATTGCTTTGTAAGTTGCTAATCCCTTCCCACTTTGTGAACGTGCTCTTCATTTTCTTTTTTTATCTTCTTCGGTGGTTGGTCTCACCCTCTTCTCAATTCAATTGGCTGTCTTGACATGCCACGAGGTGCAGAAATAAATAAATAAATAAATAAGAATAAATCCAAGTCATTTCGCGACATGTATATGCCGCACTTTAGACAGCAGTAATACATCCGAAGAGAAGCCGGTGTGCCTTATACTACGATGGTCAAATCAACAGTTGTAAATGGGAAAGATGTCTTTATTTGGTGCCAAACAATTCAAATCGTTCAGATGGGGCATTTTATTCCAATGTGGCTTATACTCCAGTGTGGCTTATACTCCAGTGTGGCTTATACTCCAGTGTGGCTTATACCCCAGTGTGGCTTATACTCCAGTGTGGCTTATACTCCAGTGTTGCTTATACTCCAGTGTGGCTTATACTCCAGTGTGGCTTAAATTAAAATAATAAACATCCATGTCCATGTCCATTTTATGTCCACGCTCACTCATACCTTCCATGATACCATCAACATTGCGCATCTTTCATGCACCCGCCATGCATCATTCATGGATTACCCATACAATGTCATCATTCATGGATCAGCCATACATCAGCCATACATCATCCATACATCATTCATACATCATCCATACATCATTCATACATCATTTATACATCATTCATACATCATTCATACATCATTCATCCATCATTCATACATCATTCATACATCATTCATACATCAACATTCCACCATGCATCACCATGCATCAGCCATTTTAAATACGTGTTATTCATGTACGCTCACCTGTGTTGTCCATGTTCTCTGCAGGTATATGCAGCAGAAACATACACACCACTGGCTGAGTTTGGAAAAGGAGAGTTGAACCAGCCGATGGGTGTCTGCGTGACAAGTGAGGGTTTAGTTGCTGTTTCCAATTGGAGTAATCACAAGATTGTCGTGTTTTGAAGGTTTCTTTTTAGACACCTGTCATCAGTCACCTGCTCACACTTTTGTATGCATCATAACATAAATGGCCATAGCGTGACATAAACTGCTCTTGTATCCCATTCTACTCCTATACCCCCCCTCCCCCCTCCCCAACACACACACACACACACAACACACACACACGCACACACACGCACGCACACACACACATGCACACACACACACACACACACACACACACACACACACACACACACACTCACACACTACTACTACTACTACTACTACTACTACTACTACTACTACTAGCAGCATGACTGCCCAGAGGGGCAAGTGTCACCCCTATGGACACACACACACACACACACACACACACACACACACACACACACACATAACCCCTTAGTTGTACATGTACATCCTTAATAATTTTCAGTTGTCGTTTCTACACTTCTCGTTGAGAATTTGGTTTTCCTCCACTCATCCGCCGCCTTGCTTGGTGACGTGTTCTATCTTACAGCACTCTCACATGAACTGAACACATCTCACGTATTTTATACCACTGTACTTCGATTTCTTTAATGGATTAGGTAGATGCCGCAGCAGTTATTCCACACCTGTTTTTCTTAGGTAGCTTCTGGTTCCCGGTGTTTATTAACCCGGTTATCTCAGAAAAAATGTTTGCAATTGCTAGAATACTATTTGCGTCCAGTGGTGGATATATTTTTGCTTTGGTTCTTTCCTCTTCATTTTAATCCTTGGCTCTCCATCTGATTTCATTATACATGTACATGATACGTAGGCTGTAATAGTTCTGAATTTTTTTATTTTACTTATTGGATTGTTTTCTCGCAGATTAATCATACTTGTATGATTAGGATATCTATGCAACAGTTAGTTTGAATTGTTCACATCGAGATCACTTTTTCCTTGTGCTGATTCTGTCGACTCACGTGGTTGGTGCACATGGTACATGGTGCTTGTGTGTGTGTGTGTGTGTGTGTGTGTGTGTGTGTGTGTGTGCGCGTGTGTGCGTGTGTGTGTGTGTACTAGTTTCGGCTCCACAATCCAGTGTGTCGTTACTATAATTATAGCTTTCATGGCTGAGGTTGTTGGTGTGTCTGTTGGCTCTGGGTTCCCAGTACTCAGTAGCCAAGGCTGGTTGGTAAAGTAACTCCAATTTCACTTCAAGGTACCAGTGCATCTAGTGCCTGCTTTTATCAAAAGCAGCGTGCTGTCTATACTGGTTACCCCAGCAAGTGTAGGGTGTGCATAGGTAACTGTCTTGGCCGTTTTATGCCGATATACTCTGTGTGGTGTAGATCAGGTGTGCATTGGTGGTCGATTCATATGGCGTCGCCAGTTGTATGGATTAGACAGTTATCTGGCGCAAGTCTTGATGTGTCTCATTCAGATCTTGTTCGCTATTGTTGCTATAAGAGAGAATCTGTGGGTGCACATCCAGTGCATTTGCAGATTTGCGTGCTTCTCTTGCGACGGGCGTATACATGGTACATGGTGTATGTGTGTGTGTGTGTGTGTGTGTGTGTGTGTGTGTGTGTGTGTGCGTTAGTGCGGCAGGCGTGCGTGTGTGTGTGTGTGCGTGTGTTTGTGTGCGTGTGGCTACAAAAACCAACTTCATAGCTGTGTGGTGTGGACCACTGAGGCTGAATAGTTGCGGTCAATTCTTCAGCCTTGCAAGCTGTTGAATGGTGCAATCCCCGCACAAGTTGCTATGGCTTCTGTCGTAGCATCGCCACCATCGCCTCCAGCGATGAGCGTCGAAAAATCAAAGGTGTGTTTGAGTGTGTTGGGGGAGGGGTGTGTTTGTGTGTGTGTGTGTGTTGATTCTCTTGAAAATGACTTCAAGGTACCAGTGTTTGGAATGTCTTTTTCCATTAAGGGGCAGCCTACCCATAAATCTCGGCATTCAATTGACCGTAACTTTAGTGTTTCCCAATGGATTTGAGTGATATTTTGACCACACACTCCTGCTACTATGCTGGCCCTCAGGACATGATTTACAAGTTCTTGCGCCTCACTGACAGGATTTACAGGCCGCAAAAACTCAAAATTCCGGCATAGTGCCACGGTTGGCGAGCCACCCAGGAGCCAAACAAATGCATTTACAATTTTTTCACATTTTCGTGCCCATTCTGTCCGTGCGCGGGACCCAAACCTAAAACAAGTCCAGAAGCAGCCATGGGTGATGGGGTAGGGCCCCTCAACGTGGCCCTGAAATCTGTCACAACGGAACGAGTGGGCGTTCTCTCGCAGACTCACGCAGACCCAAGTCAATTATTTTTGAATTTTTTTAGGTTTAGCACGTGCTACGAGGTCGTACCTTTGATACAACATCCAGTGCTGGGACCTCCACAGCAAGCCATTTCCACAGCGCTGCACACCAAATCCAGGATACCCTCAGAAACAGGCAAAGACTACCACTCACGTTCCACTAGTGCCTAGTACTGAATCCTACCTGACTTCTTGACACGACTCAAACTTGCTAAAGTCACTAAATCAACGTCAACTACAATAATCAAGCCACAAATCTGCAACGTCACGAGGGTGCTGGCAAAAGTCCTGCTGCACGGCGGCGGGCTTAGCCCGCCGCCGTGCAGCCCAATACTTGTTTTTTTAACGTGATTTTTTTGGACTTTTTGGACTTGCACACTTTCGCGTGTTTCCATGATACGACAAGTTGCGCACGGTCTGCTCACATTCAAATACAGTGCTGCCAACAAAATGACAGCGTGCAACAAACAAATCTTTCCTTGCAAGGGCACATTTTCGGCCATAACTCTTGAACGGCTGGTCAGATCGGGACACAATTTTTCAGAGAATTTGCAGCCATTCATGCTCTTTCAACTGACGTAGCACTCAATATGAATTTACAAATTCGTTTTTCAGCGAATTTTTGGGTAGTCTGCCACCTTAAACTAGCTCTACATCCTTCTCATCTTAGCGTGTACAGCTGGTTCCGAACCACAGATGGCTCCCAGACAAGATGCTCTGTTTCCCTCCCCTTGGCTAAAACGTCCTCCCTTGTGCACTCTCCACTCCTTGTTGCCTACTCTGCTTGGCTTGCGCTGCCCGCTACTACGCGCAATGCCAGTACCCTGGACGCATTTAAATCTGCTCACTAGATTCACCATCACCTGTCCCTCCCATGATTTTCCGTCTTGACCATTCTTTTCTTCTTTAATTATTTTTATTCACCATGGTTGGTTAACACCCACATCTCCCGTACTGGCTGATTTTCTTTCATGCTATGAGGTGTTGTCTAATAATAAGTAAATAAATAAATATGCAGCCATAGCCCTGTGTCTAAGCTGCAATGGAGAGCAGTCGTGGCACTGGCGAATCGATTATGTCTTATAGTGCTACAAGGTGGTGGAGCTTGTGGAAAATATTGCGCCGGATTAAGCGCAGATTGAATATATTATGCAGCCTCTCTTCCTTTGTGACCCAAACCAAGAGCATTAATTTATAGCCCTTGTTGAAACATTTTAATCAGCTGGGGCTTAGTTTGAAGGTACACACCTCACAGTATCAGTGTACAGGTCAAAGTGCTGGAACAAATACACCCTCCATGACTTGAGGGCAAAGACAACGCCCACAGTTTCTCGCTCTGCAGCCGTGTAATGTCGCTCAGCCGAGGACAATTTCCTACTAGCATAGGCAAAGGGTAACCACGAACCAGCGTCCACGTTCTGTGATAGTACAGCTGCCGTAGCGAAATCGCTGGCATCAGTTTCTACGCGGAATGCCTTGTCAACGTTTCTTCACGGAATGCCTTGTCAACGTTTCTACACGGAATGCCTTGTCAACGTTTCTACACGGAATGCCTTGTCAACGTTTCTACACGGAATACCTTGTCAACGTTTGGCAACCTCAAAACTGGTGTGCATAGAAGCGCATTCTTCGAAGAATCAAATGCCCTCTGCCTTTCAGTGTTCCAAAGGAAATAAGCATTCTTCCCCATTATTTCTTCCAATAAAGATGGAAAAACTGGTGGCGAAGGAAGCATGAACCTTGTAAACATGTGTGTCTGTCTGTTTGTCAGGGTGTGGGGAGTTGAGTGTGTATGGGGGGGGGGGGGGGGCGTGTGAATGTGCACATGTGCTTGTACTTTTGTGTGTGTGTCTGACTGTCTGTACAGTGTTTGTGTATGTGTGCGTGCATGCGCGTTTTGTGCACACTTCAGAAGTTCTGTTGTGAGACACAAATGATAAAATTTACCTTTTGTACACTCACCGAGAACTTTTTCCGGCCGATCTGGAGGCTCAGCATTCCGTTTCCTAAAGCCACCGTGTGTACGAGTAGAAAAGTGTCGAAATTATCAAGATTACCTAACGCTCTAATATATACCCAGCTGCCACCATGTACATGTACATAGAGAACACACAGTGATTGTTCTCTTAAAGAATCCGGGTCATATCATGAATCAGGGAATGAGAATCAGGGAATCAGTGCGTTCTAATGCTCTGTGTTGCGTTTTGACGATGATGAAGGAAGGGAGCCTTTGTAGTTCAATGACAACAACACACGCAGAAGTCCACTCGACTGCAATTTCAGTGCAATTTCTGACACAAATTCAACTCCACGAGTACGAGGAAGCTCGGCGGGTCTCCACAAGACCTTTCGCCCACCATCTGCAATGGAATATGGGCTGTATGATACGACCAGTGGCTTAGACGGGAAGTGGCTTTATTTTCGACCAATCCCGTTTCATTCACAACTATTTTGACTGCCATTTCAGTGCAATTTCTGCCACAAATTTAACTCCACGAGTACGAGGAAGCTCAGCGGATCTCCACAAGAACTTTCGTCCACCATCTGCAATGGAATATGGGTTGTATGATACCACCAGTGGCTTAGACGGGAATTGGCTTCATTTTCGACAAATCTTGTTTCATTCACAACCATTTGACTGCAATTTCTGGCAATTTCTGCCACAAATTCAACTCCACGAGTACGAGGAAGCACAGCGGATCGCCACAAGAACTTTCGCCCACCACCTTCGATGGAATTATGGGCTGTGTGATACGACCAGTGGCTTAGACGGGAAGTGGCTTCATTTTCCACAAATCTCGTTTCGTTCACACCAACTCAAATAAAATTGAAGTAACAGTTTGGGATTTACCTTGCCCTTCCATCGTCTCAGAATATATCAACTTCGATAAATGAGAGAGAATGAGTGAGGCAGCTGGAAGAATCAAGGATGAAAATAGAGATCAGAAGAGTCGACGGAGCAATCGTCT